TAAAACTTTGTCTGGGAAAAGGGGAGTGAGTTCATCAGACGCTCTGTATTTCTGCTAAGCAGGTAAAGGAGAATTTGCTACGGCAGTGGTGAGTGCATCCGTGATGCGGTAAACAAAGTGCAGCTAGGATTATTTTATTGAGCATGAGATGCCGGAACCAGTTCAACATTTTCAGTAAGACTGAGTAAAAGGATTAGCCCAATGGCAATATTGGATGCTGCAGTTGACAGACACTAAGACACCATCTGCTGCAAAGTGATATTCAATACTTGCATCTCATGCAAGATTGCACATGTGAGCAATGAAATTGAAACCATCTCCTCAAATCACTTTCCTCGAGCTAAAGTCAGTAAAAAAGTCAAATTCTGTCAGTAGTAGATTTCACAGGGCACCAGTGCCTCAGATAAATCCAATGTCTTTACAGCAAACTGTGTGTTCTGGCATTTGTATTCACAGCATACTGAAGCAGCCTGTGGGGGGATGTGGTGGCTTAAAAAATATGAAAAGCGTGTTATCCTGCATATGAATTGGGTTTTTCTGTCACTGGCACACTGAATAGTTTGTAATATGACATAGGCTAAATAAATGGTCTTAGTTCTCGAGGAATATGCAAACACATTTGTCGGTGCGGAAAAGGATTTTAGTTTTTCTTTTCACAGTTATTTAAAGGCTTATGGAAAGACATGGTTTCCATCATTCTTTATAAGCATTCAACTTTTCTATCTGGTGTTATCTGTATGCTTTTCAATCTGTTTTTAAAAAGGAGAATGTTGCCATGACTTGGATTCACAGTGAAAATCTGAACTCTGAGAGACTCAGATATGCTGCCTTGTGCATCTAACAGACTGTCTGATTCTATAAAAAACCTGCTGAGTTGATTGTTGATGGTTCGGGCAAATCCAGATCCTCTCAGTATTCACCCATAAGCCTCCTGATGGTTCTGGATCTGAACAGAGCCCCACAGGGAGCATTTTCAGAGATGCCTTTAGACAACAACATATTCTTGTCTTCCAAATAAACAGCACTGGCAAAATCCCTCAGTCATTTGTCTGGCACCTTTGTATAAAAGTACACAATTGTTGCAGCTTTTGTGAGCTGAGTTTGTCATAAACCACAGACACACACAAGTAAGGGATGTCACAAAGGAAGCAGAGAGGTGGCCCTGCCAGGAAAAGAGGACAGAAAACTGGTACTCTGACATTTTCTGCCTGTGTTTATGCTGTCAGAAAGTGATAAAAGGCAACATTCATGTTAACAGAACATTGTCACCTGGCACAAAGTTTGCTTGCTGAAGTCTGGGTCAGACAACTTAAAGTAATACACACAAAAAGACCCACAACCCACATGAACACACAACCATAACATCCTGGAAGAAAAACTGCAAAAGCAATTTTAAAATCTCTATTGATTGTTTGAACTAGGAGATTAGCCTTAGAGAAGCCAGGTGCTGAGGTTTTGCTCACATGCTGCTGCAAACTCTATTATTGATTAAAAAACTGCACTCGCCTCGGTATGCCTGATATGAAGACCCACACAGTTTTGTAATTTATATATAGAAAGTAATCTGAATACTAGAACGAGGAGGTACTGAATTAGTTTACACCATTCCCAGCAGCACTGAATCAGTGTTGATTTAACAGTTTATTCATCGCCTATCTTTGGACTGGAAGTCTGACTTAGATTTTATGATTATGTTTAATTTGGTCTTAACCCCCAAAAATGGTAAAGAGTACTGTTTGCTCAGAACTTAAGCGTTTGCTTAGGTTATTGAAAAGAAAAGTTAAAACATGAACGATAATTGGCCTTTATTGTTAAAAACTAACCTTTAGAGTAATGTATGCCTTTCCTCTGAACTGCATGAATAAGTTATCTTTATATTGTTGAGAAAATTACTGATGATACTTAACGGTTAAGGCCACCTGCAAGGGCCCTTGTCGGAAACCAGAAGAAAATAAATGCATTTTTATGGATCCAATTTAAAATGGATGAACAAAACCCTCTTGGTTGAAGAAATCTCAGTAAAAGAATCCGATTTCACGCAAACAGTGCTGAATTATAGTCCATATAAGCAGCTTGTCACAAATAGGTTCTGTAAAAAACATTATGTGATGATGAAAAAAATATGTCACGCATTGTGGCGCCCACAGTAAAGAACAGTGTCACCCTTGCATTGCTGTGAGCTTTGTGTTTGCTTTATTTAATTCTTTCTTTTTCAACTAAGTACCCAATTTGGCCTTGAAGGAAATATCCTTTTAGCCATTTAATTACAGTGACCACAATCATTTCTGTATCTGCAAGAACTTCTCAAGCAGCTTAAAGGAAAACTTGACCCTGAAAGCTGTTATAATCTCACAGTTAAGTACATCATCTGCCTGTCATGTTCAGTGTGTCCGAGGTGTTATACTGCAGTGTCAAAATCATTGACCTTCTTGTTTCGTCTTAATTTTCCAGCCACATCCACCTCTATTTCAGTTAGCTTTTTCTTGTATTCACCATTATTACTTTCAACAACTCCCGGAGAACATGCTGGTACTTGCCACATTTAACCAATTATTTGATTATAAATGGAAAGAGCAAGGCTAAGTACTTATCACAATAGAAAGAGCAAAAGTGTATTTTCCTTGGCTTGGTTGTTTCTCTCACCAAACTCACAAGTGCAAGACCTTTTTGGAATCGCAGACAAAGTTGGGAACGTGGGCAGCTGTTCAGAGGTCCATTCTGATGTGTTACAGTGCTGACATTTCTCTCCTCATATTAACCATCGATATTGTAACACTTTTTCAACAGCCAACAGTCCAAATCTCTCTGCTTGTACCACAGCTCCAATTCAGTGATGCTACTGAACTTCAGCTAGTGATGTATATTCCAAGGCAAGGCAAGTTTATTTATATAGCACCTTTCAACACAAGGCAATTCAAAGTGCTTTACAAAAATGAAAGACATTAAGAAAATGGCATTTAAAAACAGTCATTAAAAAGCAAAGATAATAAAAGAAACATTAAAAGAAAAAATACATTAATAAAAGTTACAGTGCAGTTTAAGATATGAATAGTTCAATTAAAAGCAGCGACAAAAAGAAAAGTCTTCAGCCTGGATTTAAAAGTAGTCAGAGTTGCAGCGGACCTGCAGGTTTCTGGAAGTTTGTTCCAGATATTTGGAGCATAATAACTGAACGCTGCTTCTCCATGTTTAGTTCTGACTCTGGGGACAGAAAGCTGACCAGTCCCAGAAGACCTGAGAATTCTGGATGGTTCATAATTTAGCAGGAGGTCATACATGTATTTTTAGGGTAGTTCTTTGTGAGAGGTACATTTTTTTAATTAATTTATTTTAAACCTGGGCTGCCACACCAGCAGCCACAGTGCTGCCACACCAGCAGCCACAGTGCTGCAACTGAGGCTAAACTTCAAGGTTGATGAGAGAGGGGTAAATGTTGTCAGATTGAGGAAATAATTCACCAGGAGAGTTTTCTTGACTAATAGAATGAATTCTGGGGGTTGGAGCTTAGACTTTCCGTCTTTCATTTTGAAGGACCACCCTAATGTATTTTGGGCCTAAACCATTCAGTGCTTTATAAACCAGCAGCAGTATTTTGAAATCTATTCTTTGACACACAGGAAGCCAGTGTAAAGACTTCAGAACAGGAGTGATGTGATCCACTTTCTTAGTGTTAGTGAGGACTCGAGCAGCAGCGTTCTGAATCAGCTGCAGCTTTCTAATAGATTTTTTAGTGAGACCTGTGAAGACACCATTGCAGTAGTCGAGTCTACTGAAGATAAAAGCATGGACAAGTTTTTCCAAATCCTGCTGTGACATTAATCTTTTAATCCTAGATATGTTCTTTAGGTGATAGTAGGCTGATTTAGTAATTGTTTTAATGTGACTGTTGAAACTCAGGTCAGAGTCCATGACTACACCTAGATTTCTGGCTTTATCTGTTGTTTTGAACATTACAGACTGAAGCTCAGCGCTAACTTTTATACATTCTGCCTTGGCTCCAAAAAAACATTTATATTATTTCAATCTGACATGCTATGTATACTGTATGATATCAAATTGAAAATTATTGTTTATTAATCATACATATTTTCTTTAGATTGAGCATGGCATATTTGGAAGCTTTGGAAATTGTTTGATCTTTACTATGTGTTTCTACTTATCTGTAAAATATTTTAAATATCATTCTAGCGGTGCTTAAAATATAATTTAGCATGGTATTAGGTTTTTTCTCAATTTAGCTGCTGATCTATAACAAACACTCATTAATGCAGGGTGAAAAAAACCAAGTATGAATACATATATTAAGGATCTGTAAGCATTTGTTGCTTTAGAAAAAATAACATACATTACTAATGGAAAGCTGGCAGTTTTTGAAAATATCTGGGGGAGCTTCATGGAGTTTTTGAAAAAGAATGTTGGTAGTGATCAATAAAACCAAAGACCGGGGAGGGGGGCAACGGGAATACGATTATAAAATGTAGTAGCCCACGTCATATTCTTTCAGATTTCTTTCAGATTTCTGTACTCTGTTATCCCTGTAGGCTATCATCTGTATTCTGAACTGTGTTTATTTACATGCCTATTCATTTGTCTGTACACTGTATCTGCCACCTAGACTGACCGTTTTATTTATGTGTAATGTTTGTTATATTTGAAAACTTCAATAAAAATATTGATTAAAAGTAATGCAGGGTGCACCATCTATTTCTGTTCTTCATGCCTCACTGATATGTTTGCAGTATGCAGGACAGCTCACTTTCAGGCTCACATCATTTCCAATAAATGTATGTACAAAAACATTGTAAAATCTCTCCATTACTTCCTTTAGTTCTTCTAACATCAAAAGATGAGGTTATAGCTATGACAGGCTTAGAGACCTTAGTCCAAACTCATTGTGATTCATCATGGCGCCTCTCTTCTTCACTCTTCTTCACTCTCTCTATGTGGTCATTGAAAAGGGCAGCTGAGTGGCAGCTGATTATCAAAACACATTCTCCTACCTTTGATCTCCTGAGGTGTGAGGCTCTAATCCATCTTGCAGCGCAGGAGGCTGTCTGATCTGGGTGGTTGTGGTAGCCACTTAGCTTCTCCTCATCTCACATACACATACAGTGTGTGCCCCGGCTCTCGCACAAGTGTGTATATATGCACACACACAGTTTGGGCTCTGTATTCTGGCTACTGCGAATGCACACTGTAAGAGAAAAAGAAAAAATATATGATTTGTGAGTCAGAAAACACAAAAGAGGATGAATATTATTTTATGAGGGAAAGACATATTATCAAGGACAACCATCAGCTTCACACAGGGTTGAGCAGGGTTTAGTGAGACATTATTTTTGTTGTAGAATATATTTTTTGTTTGTCCTGCTGAGTAAACTATAAATGTTTAAAAGCAACTTCAGAACAAGGGCATTGCATTATAAATCATATTTCTGCTCCCGTATCTGCTGTGTTATTGCTAATGCTGAGGACAGCCATTTAAACATAGAGTGAGTTTGGAATCTGCACTGTTACCCAAAGTTTCAAAGTTCACAGCCCCATTTTGCTGATGGTCTTCGTTTATTGTTTGTCCCTTACTCAGCTAGATACCCTTCCTCTTTGTAGAGCGCATTCAACATTTTTCATACTGTCACTACACATATGTTTGAACAGCCTCCAAAACTCATCAGCATTCAAAACAAGGTCGAGCACATAATATTGCAAGAGCATTCCAACGGTGAATGCGAAAGTAAATGTCACTTACAAGAGGAGCATTAATCTCAAGTCATTGCATTTTAATGGTGACCTTACTCAGAGGGGAATTCAACTTCCCCAGAGATCAACCTAATCACTTAGCAACATGGTGAAATCACGCTCTTATGTACGACAAAGCTTATGCACAATCTGCCACGCATCAACAGTTAGCACATATCAACGACACACATACAGTACTGTACTTTACATACTCACATTTACGTCCATGCACTGGGGATTTTGTTAAGTGCTAATTTATGTTATAAACATGTTCTCACAACATCTGAATTAATATATTGTGAAATTGATAGTCAAAGATTTCACAAAGGTCTATCAGAGATGCTTTGTATATGATTTCAGGGTATATGCAGGAATCCTGAAGTCAAATGTAATACCTTTTAAGACCTTTTTTAAGACCCTTTTCATACATTTTAAGACCTCATCGCCACTTTGAGTTTTAACCGGTTACATTGGCGACACACTTTACCTCACATTTACTATATACATTATTGATTGTCCTTCCTCCTTATCTTCCAACCATTTGGACGCAAACTTGCATTTCCCCACAACGATGTTGTTTAACAACCGGCGTAAACGGACCTTTGCACGCTATCAAGCAGTGAGCGTGCGATGTCCTGTTCAGATGACGTCAAATCCAACGGGATGCCATAAATAAACTACACTGTAAAATGTTTGGCTGTAAAATTACAGTAAATTACTGGCTACTAGTTGCATGGATTTCACAGTAATTTACTGTAAATATTTCCCAGTAATTGACTGTAAATATTTCACAGTACTTTACTGTATATATTTTACAGTTAATTAGAATAAAAGTACAATTAAATACTGTGACTTTACAGTTGCCATGCCAATGGAATTACTGTGATATAGCAGTACAGAGCTGTGGTATTATGGTACCTTGCTGTACATAAATTACAGTAATTACCTGTATGTTCACACTATTACTGTAGAAGTAATGCAACACAGTAGCCAGTAATTTACTGTAAATATACAAATCTAAATAATACGATAATATATTGTAAATTTGACTTGGATTGTACCATAATTCAATCAGCTCAATCAACAAAGAAAAACAAAGAAAATGCCCATTTTAACTTTTTATTACTCCATTGAAGTGCAAAGTACATTTTACAGTGTCTTGGAAATGTTGTTACGGCCCCAACCTCTACTCCGCGGTAGTGGCTTGTGCTGAGACCCGCAACATGAAAGAATACACGCAATAACCGGTACTTGGTAACGAGCATTTATTGATAATCAGCCGTTTGCTCACACAAGCAAAATGGGAAACAAAAAGAGGTCTGGAGGACTGGCCAAAAGGAACAAACAGAAGGAGGGAACCCGAACCAGCCACACCACGGGCCGTAGGACCCAGAACTCCCCCGCCTAACCAAAAATCAAATATAAACCCAATGGGGAACAAAATAAAGCCGTGAAAACTGGACTACCAGGTCCTCCAGGCTAAACATATCTGCAAAAATATGGCCTATACAGCTCAGAATGGCAAAGAGGTATTCTAAGGACAGTGTCTCCGGCGTTAGGATAGGCGAGAAATCCTTCTCCTCCAGCTTCTCTTTAATGGAATTTGGAACACCTGGGCAGAGGCGGAGCCAAGGGCAGACCAGGTGCACCTGGGCAGAGGCGGAGCCAGGGAGACAGAAAACAAGGAGGGGAGCACTTAACACATGTCTACACAGACATCCACTCAAAGTCAACAATTTTTCTGAAGAATGTGCTGACATGGGGGTTTAAATTGCCATGCCTCTTTTTGGCTTTCGAGTCCGTCTCAGGATTAATGCCCAGGGTGCACCTGAAAACACTAAGCCAAGACAACAATTTCAATTTGACATAGATGTATATGTTGCCTCATTTATTTTAAGGCACATGCAGCGGTGCCCCTTTCAATTTAAGTAAAACCTGCACCAAAGAAAGAAATTAGTATTTAAAGCCAAGCAAGAGCGATAAAAGCAAGAAAATCACTTAATTTGTTGTGTTATCACAGAGGATGGTCTGAATACAGTATTTTACTGTGAAATAATACAGTAACATGTTGTGAAATCCTGGTAATCATTTATCCTGTACATTCACAGTAATTAACTGTGCCTGTATTGATTTCACTGTGAAATTCTAAATTATAGTGTTATATTGTGAACATTACAGGTAAAGACTGTAAAGTGGTAAAACAGTAATTTATTGTAAAATATTACAGCTAAATATTGTGAAATCATGGTAATATTTTACAGTGTACACAGAATCACACTACACACCTACGTAATGATTACATTCAGGCAAACTGTAGAATACAACCTCTTTGGACAATTTATATACTTATTGAAAACAAGCTACAAAATGTAATACCTTGGAAAATGCTGTTTAATACTTTTTAATAGCCTTCATTTTTGCTAAATTGATATATCAACTTTTAATACTTTTTAAGACTCCGCAGACACCTTGGATTTGAATGTTTCTGGGTTTAACATTTATTATCCCGTGAGAATATAAAAAAACCATTGATTAGTTTGACAATTGAAAACAATTTCATTTAAAACGAGGCTACAGCTGACTCTTCTTTGCTACTCTTCTTATGAACAGGGACATACATCCGTTATTGGGTGCAGTTTTTATAAACTGGATTTTTTATTGGCAAATAAATTAGACTGATAGTATAACATCAACTAAACAACTCTCTTAAAAGAGAAGGATAAAGAAAGGAAGAGGGAGTAATAGGCAAGGCAAGGAAAGTTTATTTATATAGCACCTTTCAACACAAGGCAATTCAAAGTGCTTTACAAAAATGAAAGACATAAAGAAAATGGCATTTAAAAACAGTCATTAAAAAGCAAAGATAATAAAATGAACATTAAAAGAAAATATACATGAATTAAAGTTACAGAGCAGTTTAAGATATGAATAGCTGAATTAAAAGCAGCAGCAAAAAGATAAGTCTTCAGCCTGGATTTAAAAGTAGTAAGAGTTGCAGCGGACCTCCAGGTTTCTGGAAGTTTGTTCCAGATATTTGGAGCATAATAACTGAACGCTGCTTCTCCATGTTTAGTTCTGACTCTGGGGACAGAAAGCTGACCAGTCCCTGAAGACCTGAGAATTCTGGTTGGTTCAGAATTTAGCAGGAGGTCAGAAATGTATTTTGGGCCTAAACCATTCAATGCTTTATAAATCAGCAGCATAATTTTGAAATATATTCTTTGACATACAGGAAGCCAGTGTAAAGACTTCAGAACAGGAGTGATGTGATCCACTTTCTTAGTGTTAGTGAGGACTCGAGCAGCGGCGTTCTGAATCAGCTGCAGCTTTCTAATAGATTTTTTAGTGAGACCTGTAAAGACACCATTACAGTAGTCGAGTCTACTGAAGATAAAAGCAAAACCAAATCCTGCTGTGACATTAGTCTTTTAATTCTAGATATATTATTAAGGTGATAGTAGGCTGATTTAGTAACTGTTTTAATGTGACTGTTGAAACTCAGGTCAGAGTTCATGACTACACCTAGATTTCTGGCTTTATCTGTTGTTTTGAACATTGCACACTGAAGCACAGCGCTAACTTTTAGACGTTCTGCCTTGGCTCCAAAAACCATTACCTCAGTTTTATCTTTGTTTAATTGGAAAAAGTTCTGACACATCCAGTCATTGATTCGTTCAACGCACTTACTCAGTGTTTGAATTGGAGCATAGTCTCCTGGTGAAATGGCAAATTAAATGTGTGTGTCATCTGCATAGCTATGCTAACTAATTTTGTTGTTTTTCATTATCTGAGCCAGTGGTAACATGTAGATGTTAAAGAGAAGAGGCCCCAAGATGGAGCCTTGAGGAACCCCACATGTCATATTTGGCAACTCAGATATGTATTTACCTATAGAAACAATGTTTTTTCTGTCCTTTAAGTAGGATTCAAACCAATTTAGAACTGTTGCCGAAAGTCCCAACCAGTTTTCAAGTCGGTCTAGTAATATGTTGTGGTCAACAGTATCAAACGCACCACTGAGATCTAATAATACTAACACGGAAGTTCTGCCACTGTCTGTGTTTAAGTGGATGTCATTGAAGATCTCATAGAAAGCAAGAGTGGGCAAGTATGTTAATAATTTGATTACATTCTCAGTTTTAGGTGTGCAGTGTATTCAAATAGATTTTAAACTGGAGTCTCTGCGTATGGTAACTAACGACCAAAGACTAAATGGTTAATAGACTGCACTTATTATCAGGTCTCTTCTGCCCCTCAAAGTGCTTTTACATACTATGAGTCATTCACCCATTCACACCTCACTCATGCAGAACAGCATCAGGACTAAAACCACCAGGGACTCAGGGACAGTTTCATCCCACAGGCCATAAGACTGTTAAACACCTGAACTTTTGAAACAACATCCATAACGTTCATCTGGCTGCAACTTAGAAATTATTTATCTAATATATCATATTC